CAGGTCATCGACCGGTCACGCCAGGTCATCGGCCGGCCACGCCAGGTCATCGGCCGGCCACGCCAGGTCATCAGCCGGTCACGCCAGGTCACTGGCCGGTCACGCCAGGTCACTGGCCGGTCACGCCAGGTCATCGGCCGGTCACGCCAGGTCATCAGCCGGTCACGCCAGGTTATCGGCCGGTTACGCCAGGTCATTGCGCGGTCACGCCAGGCCATCGCTGGTCAGGACCTCCAAAGGCCCGGATGATGACGACACATAATGCCTCTGGTAGAGACCCGACGGGGCAACACCTCAGACGTCCCCGCACGCCCGAAACCCCTGCAGTTCTCGTCTACATCTCACGAATACACCATGCAGTCACCAGTACTACGCGCAACGGACACAGATTGTCGAATTAACACACACAGCTGAGTTTCTCAGTAAAATACAAGAGCCGTTCCACAAAATCATGGGCCGACATCAGCCGCTGTCACTTACCAAGACTGGAGACATGAGAGGCATGCAACATGTGTTCGACCCAAGATAACACCCAACACAAGAGTTCGATCCAAGATAATGCAATTCATGCGCGGTTCAGCGCTCATGCCTTGACAACCGAGCAGGTCCGGACGGCCGCCGCGCATCCCCTCCCAGCGCCGCCTCTGGCGAAGTCACACGCGTCTGGCGACGGCCGGGCTCACCTGTTCGTTGCCCTTCCTGATCGAGTCGAGGAAGCCCTGCAGCTCGCGGCCGCGCTTGTTGTCCACGGTCCGCTCCCGGATACAGGCGTCCAGGCACCAGGTGAACTTGTGGCACGGGTCCACGTCGACGATCTCCTGGTGGCGGACGGCGCGGAGCGTCAGCGGCCAGGCGCTCCCACAGCCCGGCGGAGGCATCTAACACGGCAGCGGCTGGGCCTAGCGGGACGCGACGCGGCACAGGGTGGAGCGTGGAGGGCCAGGCGCTCCCACAGCCGGCGGCGGCACCGACCGCGACAGCGGCTGGACCGAGCGGGACGCGACGCGGACAGCGGTGGAGCGGGCAGAGCCGGGCGGGCGACGAGAGGGACGCGACGCGCAAAGGGTGGGGGGAGCGTGGAGGGCCAGACCCTCCCACAGCCGGCGGCGGCATCGACGGCAGCGGCTGGCCGAGCGGGACGCGACGCGGCACAGGGTGGAGCGTGGAGGGCCAGACCCTCCCACAGCCCGGCGGCGGCATCGACCGCGGCAGCGGGGACCGAGCGGGACGCGACGCGGCACAGGGTGGAGCGTGGAGGGCCAGACCCTCCCACAGCCCGGCGGCGGCATTGACCGCGGCAGCGGCTGGACCGAGCGGTGCGGGACGCGAACAGGGTGGAGCGTGGGGGGCCAGACCCTCCCACAGCCCGGCGGCGGCACCGACCGCGGCAGCGGCTGGACCGAGCGGTGCGGGACGCGACACAGGGTGGAGCGTGGAGGACCAGACCCTCCCACAGCCCGGCGGCGGCACCGACCGCGGCAGCGGCTGGGCCTAGCGGGACGCGACGCGACACAGGGTGGAGCGTGGAGGGCCAGCCCTCCCACAGCCCGGCGGCGGCACCGCGGCAGCAGCTGGACCGAGCGGTGCGGGACGCGACGCGGCACAGGGTGGAGCGTGGAGGGCCAGACCCCCCCCACAGCCAGGCGGCGGCATCGACCGCGGCAGCAGCTGGACCGAGCGGGACGCTGACGCGGCAAAGGGTGAGGCGTGGAGGGTCAGGCGCTCCCACAGTCCGGCGGCGGCATCGACCACCGCGACGACGCAGGTTACGAGGCAGATACACCGATCTGCATTCTGCCACGTAACACCCTTTCATGCCAACCAGCGTCAGCAGATCACCAGGACACACGTTAAAAGTAGTTGCTACGACCCAGCGCGATGATGTCATCAAAGAGAGGCCTTCTCTCCCACGGGCAGTGTTGCTTAACGTGGCAACAGCGTGCTGCCGTCCCACCTGGATCTCGAGGTCGTGCAGGGCCATCAGCAGCTCCGCACGCAGAGTGCAATAGTGCAACGTTGCGCGTCTTGACGAAGAGCGTGCGCAGAAACTGCAGCACCATGTCGTAAAGCTTGACGCTGTGGCCGATCATGTGCACGATCTTCTGGATGATCTCGCCTTGCCGCCGCACCTGAGGCGCAAGGCACGCGCGCTGGTGGCGACGGGCACTCCCACGCGGAAGATCACTACGGGCGACCATTTCATACAGCACACAACGGAAAGCCACCGGTGGCACGCTTCACAACTATCACAACGCATCTCAAATGCTCATCGCGACGAAAACGACCGTGAGGTACTTTCACGTATTATGTCGACATGTCCCGACATGAATGAAACAACACCTAGAACAACACCTGGCTTTCTCATGGTAGTACGACCGAACTTTGCAATATTGCAACGATAGAAACCAAAACACATTCAGCGGAAACGCATACCCGCAATTCGGAACTAGCAGCACTCGCAACAGGCTAGCGCGGAAGGCGCCGACGGCGCGACCCCTTCCCCCGCCCGGTCCCGGAGGGCGCGGACCACAGCCGGCTACCTTGGGCGTCAGGTCGAAGAAGTTGGTGAGGTTGGTGTGTGTGAGCAGCGCCGCCTCCTTCTCCTGCACGTACTGGATGAAGAGCGGCGACACCTCGTCTCCGAACAGCGTCTGGTGATCCGTCCAGATCTGGCGCTTCACCTCCGTGTCCAGGTCGTTGTAGAGCTCCTTGTCACGCACCTGCCGACGCATTTCACATTCCGCTTTTCCAGCCGGGCCCAGGCGTCGGTGCGCGATACTAGGCGTCAATCGTAGAAGGCGGCGCATTATACAGCGCACGCACCACAAACCTCGTCCCGCCACTAGTACAACACAGAACGTGTTTTACTTATGGCTGCAGCACATACGAGCACCAGGTGCAAAAGCAAGCAGCCAAACCCCACCACAACCAGCAAACCGCACATTTACCTCAATCAAGCCCTTCAAGGCCCGCTCGGTCACGCCATCCGTTTCCGTTTCCACTTACCAAGACCTTGAGGAACTTGTGGTCCACCTCGCGGTGTGTTTGAGGATGGCCATGACGACGGGCCGCAGCGTCTTGAACCTGATGACCGGGAACGACTTGTGCAGGAGGTCGCGCAGCTTCTTGTCCCGCTCGCGGCCCCCAGCCGGCCAATGGCGTTGATCTGCTGGATCAGCTTATCGCAACAGGACTCTGCGGAACGGGCCGATGTCAGTGCCGCCGCCACCTCGGGCTCACAGGGACCAGCTGATGTCAGCGTCGCCAGCCACCCGGACTCACAGGGACCAGACTGACTGTCAGCGCCGCCACCACCCCTGACTCACAGAGACAAGCTGATGTCAGCGCCGCCACCACCCGGACTCACAGGGACGTGCTGATGTCAGCGTCGCCGCCACCCCGGACTCACAGTGACGAGCTGATGTCAGCGTCGCCGCCACCCAGGGCCTCACAGGGACGAGCTGATGTCAGCGCCGCCACCACCCAGGGCTCACAGGGCACTCTCAAGGGAACAGCCGACAGCACTGCAGCCGAATTACCAACGTCGGTGCATGCCAAACCAAACCAAACCAAACCAAACGTGTGCCTCCAAACCTGCTGTAAGTCGAGAGTAGCACCGGGAGGGCGACGCTACTGCGCCCTATCGGTGCCACTGCCACCGGTGCCACCTCAAAGGCAAGGCACCTTAAAGTAAGGTAAAACATTTTGTACCGTGAGGGCCGATATGGTTATCTAACAAGTCTACATATTGCGACACACCGCTGTTTGTCCCACCAGCAGCACTGGCTGCCAAAAGCACTACGTCTTTATCAGCAACAATGATCGTGCTGAGTATGAATGCATCGTACGGCGTCTTCCTACTTTCATGAGTTATTACTATTTGACTCATCATTGTTATGTTTTTCGTGTGACGCTTAATAGCATTTTTGTACTGAATTGCTATTAGAATCGAATACTATGCCACGTGCTGGACAAATTATTTATAAATTGGCTTGACTTGTCGCCTAAAAAGTTTATATTTCAGACTTAAGTGCATATAACAAAATTCCCTCATAAAATTATCACGATTGAGGCTTTACATATCACCGACTGCCAGACCCATTCAGAGGCGAACGCCTTTATTAAGTTGTATGGGGTGCGGTGGCGACGTGGCAGGGGTCCAAACCCAAGACCGACAGGTCCGGAGTCGAGCGTTTTAACCACCATCCCAATATCCTACTACCGCCTCTAAAAAATTCCCTTGACATATGTCGGACAAGCAAAGCATGACAAGTTACCAATGCTAATTCTGACTGACATATGTCGGGCGAGCAAAGCATGAGAAGTTTGTTAATTCTCAGTTTGGTAACACCATCCGGCATAAACCGGCGGGCCGACCAGCTCAGCTCGCCACTGGCCACGCAGCAGAATCACACCCCTCTTACGGCGGCGAGGCCCGTGGCACAGGAGCACACCCACCTCCATGACGGACATGTGGAACTCGAACCGCTTGACGCCGTGCAGGTCGAGCAGCGGCAGCATCGGCCGCAGCGACGGCAGCAGGATGCCATTCTCGGCCTGCAGCCGGCAGCGCACGCGTCATCAGGCGGTGAGGCGATACACCACAGGGCGGACAGCCGCCCGGCTCGGTAGGAGCAGCAGGGCACTTAATGCCGCACACAAACCATGACATATTCCATGGACAGACACTGAGCAGTCAAGCTTAACTTCCGAGAGACCACATGTTTGGAAGGGTTCCCCAGTTTCAAACAAACGGTCGAAGTTGGAGTGCAAGTTGCGATGAAACTAGTCCCATATGTGCTTGGGCTTTGTTGGCTATGCATACTTTGTGATTGGTTTTCCTGAATATCCATGTGCTAGTATCGAACTAAATAGAAAAACACAATGCTTACCTGAAAGTCACCAATTGCCTTCAAAGGATCTGAACAGCTTGTCAGGGCCTTTCTGAGGTACTCCTTTCCCGGAATACCGATTTCTTCGAGTCCACCTCCGGACATGGCTCACTGTGAAATACACAGACCAGGATATCTTCAACCACACACAGGATAGTCATGTGCTAGTAGAAACGTGAGAAGCTGATGAATGTAAAAAATTGGAACTGCAAAATGCCTAGTAAAATGTTCAACATTGCAGGAGTGTTCTTATTGTTTCTGCCTATCATGGCATTGCACAAAAACTGGTTTTAGCAAGAGGCTTTGACATGTTTGTATAAGAACCAGTCATCGCCCAAGGCTTGGGGGTAAAGGGGGAGGCAGTGCAATGCAAGGCTGATATTGTGGTAGCCTCATTGTTTACTGAGCAATTTGCAGACAGATCAGTTATTGATGTGAAGGGTCAAGTTGGGCCAACAAGGACGAAATGCTCATAAAAAGGGTCCATGCATGTAGCTCACTCCTACCTTTTGACATCTTTTACCTTTAAAATCATTTCATTCATTTAGGGGTATATTTGTGTGAACCTACCAACATGACATTCATACTCCTTAAATGCTGAATTCCCATGCCGTAATTGCTGGCAGCTGCATCCCCTAAGCATGGCATTTACTGGACAGATATGCTGACAATCATTTGCTGACATCACCCAGGTTTTAACCCTGCTGGCAGGGGAGGCAGCCATGCAGAATCTAAGCACCTCCACACACCCAGGCCATGACATCTGCACAATCCACTGACACCAAGTAAGGCCAATGGCAGGTTACCTGTACATATGACATTTGTCAGAACACATTGGACACATTTGGAAGCAGCAAACTGTACCAAGTCCAAAAATTGTCTCATATTACCCATAGGCTGTACATTTACAAAACAACTACAAGAAATAAAAGCATTCTAAAAGATGACGGTACATGAAGGCTTCATCTCGGCAATACAGCCCATAAGAATTTGCTAGGCAGCAGTCCTACAAGCTCCAAAACTTCCTCTAAAAATGTGCAATGAGGCACTTCTGCCCTTTCTGACTATTCAAAAAAATATATTTAGTCCGAACATTCTGACTGGATGGACTTCTGGATCAACACCAATGTTAAGCAGTGCTTGCTCTGGGAGCCCTGAGCCAGACCCCACCATCTCCACAATCACCACCACCATCCACCACCCTCATCATGAAATTCCACATCAAAGGCACAATTTTGTGATGAAGTGCAAAGTGCCACAATGCTGGGCACAATCTGTCCTAACCTCTGACATTTGGCCACCCCAAGACCTCAAGGTGGCTGCTGTCATGGCCACATAGTCAAACATAAATAGTGGGCGCCTGAAGCAGCCCACACCTAACCTAACACTCTATGCAAATGAGCCCTGACTAAATGAGCTATTGGAGTCATCACCCACCTTACCTGACATTTCCTCCTCCCCCCCCCCCCCCCCCCACAAAAGCCCTATGTTCATCCCTATGCCCTTGAGCATGGTCAATGACAAAAAACCAAACTACAGCTGTTTTGGCAGTACTTTATGAACCTGACCAGCTATGGAGAATATCTGTCATTTTGAGATCCAGTACTATAATTATGACCATCACATACAGTATGTTCTGGCAAATATCACACACTGGTGACCCTTAATTGATCTGGCCTGGTTCTTTTACTTTTACTAACCGTTTATTGAGACTAGTTAAATTTCTAGCTATGCGACTGTACTAACATCACAGCCAGAATATCCGGATAAGCTGAAATTTTTGCTGTCAACTTTTCACACATCTCTGTGGCTTAAAATGCTGAGTAGCACACAAACACACAGACATGGGCCACTTTTGTGACACATATAGATCAAGCTAAGCAATGATCAATGAAGAGCAGACACAGACTTGTGCTTAATTTCCAGATGGGCACCAGCGGCAGCTTAATCAGAACGTGCTTGCCCATTCATATACAGCTATTGAGTGCAATTTAAGTACCTGACCATTTCTTAACTGATGTGCTCACACTAAAACTGACAGAACACAGTTTTTATGCAACATATTGAAACTGATACTTATTACTGACACTTTGATCCTATTTTCAGAATCCATGTGTACTGTCACTCTTTTGCCCTACATGTCATTTAAGGGTTCGGCATATCTTAAGCAAATGCAATTTGCATTGTTACCTTACCCTGACCATAGCTGGGTCAAGGCCTACCATTGTCTTGTTTGATTTGGTGGTTATACATGGTGAGAATGTCATAACCACAATGTGATTTGGAACTCAAATGCTTCCACAGGCCCCTAATCTTACTTACTGACCGGTGGCATCATGCAAGCCAAACCGCCTTAAAAAAGCTCCAGCCACTTTCATAACCAATAGAGGCAAAACCACTAAACCTCTACCAAAAGGTGAGCACAAGCTCAAATATTACATCCCAAATATCCAAAAGGTGAAAAGTATGACCAAAATTGACCAACCCATTACAACTTGTCTACACAATATAAAGTCCATCAAGCATTCATCATGTTAGTACACAAGATGTTTAGATTGATATTTCAGGTGAGGCCCTTGCACATCCAAAAACCAGTACCATATTTTGACACACACACATGCATCTAACATAAACAAGAACTAAATAACTGTTTCCAAATATTCACCAAAAGTTTTATACCATGTTCAACTTAATATCCATGAATCAACTTGGTTTGCCCAAAACTTAATGCATCTAGTCTCAGATAGCAGGTATCAAGGGATATATGTCATGCTAAACACAATAAACATCCAACATAATTACAAACTGATGATAATATTTCAGATGATCCACACAATAAATTGAAATTGCCTGATTTTAATGCATGGAGTATATTGCTTACAGGGCATGGGGAGCCAGGATTCACAGATATCAAAACAACATACTTGCAATCATGTGCAGAAAAATACCCAAACATGCATGAATTGATACACATATGTAAATAAACCTAAAACTCAGTACATTTAGCCTGAATGGAGCCTGGTCATCACATCATTTCACCTAAGTTCACTTCAATGATACAAAGAAGCTCAACAAAGCATGATTTTATTTCAGACAAGCATGGCTATGGTTCAAGTAAAACAAACAGTGCCATTCTCTACTATGGTCAGGTCCAAAAAAGCATCATAAACACAGAAAGTGCTGTTGTATTCTCTTAGCCACTGTGCTGCAAAATAAATGGCATATCAACATGGATATGCACCAATGAAAGAAGTCGTAACCAGCCGTAACCCTCCCACTTCCTAAAGCGGTCTAAATCACCTAAGTCTAATGCGCAAACCATACAGCACTGGCATCAGTAGATGAACTAGACATTTGGGAAAACCAGCGATATCTTGATTTACCTCAGTTGGCCACGTGATATCAGCAAAACGCCCTCTTCCTCGCATTAGGCGCTCATCCAGTTCAATTTCGCGTCAGCCGACATATACATTTGCGACGCGACCGCTAGGAAATTTTACCATCATGAAGGTCACAACTACATTCAGCTAACGGCATGATGACCTCACAAAACCACGAAAGCAATGCCGGTCAGACGGGGACAAACGGAGTAACACGGAGTCGAACAGAGTAGCATGAGACCGCACTACATCGGACGGAACAGAAGTTCTGTCCTGGATGTGGTGCCGCTTGGTTCCGGTCACCGGATGCACCTGGATGGAACGTGTTGATACCAAACGGGATCGGATGTACAGGACCGGATAAGGCGGACGGGACTGAACGGGGCCCGACGAGAACCTACCAAACCAGATGTGGCCAAGCGGGAAAATACCAGCATGTACGGGATCGGACTGAATAACACGGGACCAGCTGAGAGCAGACGTGACCGGACAGGCTCAAACGGCATCAGAGGGCACCAGCCGTGACTGAAAGGAACCGAACGGAATGAAGCGGGACCAGATGGGCCCGGACGGAACCGGATAGGACGCACTGAGGCCAGTTGGAGCCGGATTGTGGTGTTTCTGGTCGTCCAAACCGTATGCTGTGCGACTCAACAGATCACACATAAACTGTGGAGCAGGAATGAGTTCCACTCAGACGCGCGTTCCGGACTGCAGTCGCAGAGGTCACGCCAACTGACCTGACTTGACGGAGTCAGCTGGTGTGAGCCTGATTCCACCCGGGGCGACCGCCTGGGAGGTCGGCAGTATAACACGGGTGAGGCAAGGCTGGACTGACAGTATTTGACGCAACCGGACGGGACCCGACAGAACCAGACGGAACCAGACGGGTACCGCCAGGACTAGACGAGACCGCACGGGGCCGGATGGAATCAGACGCGACCAGATGTGACCAAACGGGACCGGTATGAACCGGACCGAACCGGGCGGAACGGAATCGGAAGGCACCGGACGTGTGGTTTAAAAAATAACCCAAACCCCTTGAATGGATGGATTTCTGTTATCAGCGCTCACGCCAAGCAGTGCTCGTTGTGTGAGCCCTGCCCCCACCATCCGATCGCGCAATTCTAGGCAACGGCAACATTTGTTGGCGAAAGCTTAACGTGTCGCAATGCTCGGCACAGTTCTTCCTGACCTCTGACGTCAACTAACCTTTAGCGCGACCGATGCCACCGGCCGCTGGCCATACCTGTCAAGAGCAAATAGTGGGCATCCTAAAGCGACTCGAACCCACCTTGCCACGGGTGGGTGGATCGAAAGGCAGGTGCTCTAACCAACTGAGCCACCGGGACGGACAATGGTCGAATGAAACCATGGACGGTACAGAACAGGACTAGCCAGAACCTATCGGAACCGGATGAAAGATATGGGGGCAGACGGGTCATGATGAGGCCACTTGGGTCCGAGAGGAACCGGAAGGGATATTAGGCGGGATCAGACGGGGCTGAACGGAATGGGAACGGATCGATCGCGCTAGAACCAAATTAGACGAAACCGGATGGTACTGGACGAGTCTGGACGGGATAGGATGGGACTGGGCAAGGCCTGATGGAACCAGACGTGAACGGACGGAACCGGACGGAACCACACAGGACCAAGCGTTACTGGACGAGGTCGAGCAGGATAGAACGGTACCGCACATAAACAAAAGGAACCAGACCAAACGCATGACAAGCATTTTGATGATCAGAAATCCTAACATAAGCCGGTTTATTAGCAGAGCACACCCATGGAGGCGTCAAGACAGGGAAGGGATATTTCTAACAAAACTTGATCTGAATACATCGTTTATTTTTCTCGTCTTTCAGAAAAAATCAGGCGCCCTTTACAGGTAGTCCCTCAGAATTGTTATTCCGATAGCATCTAAACTGCTTAGAAAGTTAGTTTTTTTCAATGGTGCTGTGACGTCACCAAAAATGAGCTGAATGTGGTTGCTGAACGCTCAAAAATCAGCATCGTTACATAATCAGTTGACACCGCGTCTCAAATTCGCGTGCTGGTTGGTGGGCGCTGGGATTGTTGTTGACTGTAAAGGTAACCTAATTTTCATTTAGATGGCATATGAGGGTCAATCGGATGGCTTAGGATATTCATAAATGGCTTTTCCGTCTAATTTGATAGATATTTTACCGCTCCCATGCAAAATTTGCTTGATTCAGACTATAAGGAAGCACAAGGCTTACGCCTGAAATACACAGTCATTGTGACTGGAAAGTATGGGGAAAAACGTCATTCATTTTCGTTAAATATCACTTATAACTAAATGAAAAGTTAGAGATATTCATGAGTATCTAGTGCATCATCTAATGTTATTTTCGTGGGGTTTGTGCGTTAAAACAAATTTATTCAAGCAGTGTGAGGAATTGTTGGGCCTCTGCAGGTGATATCCACCATTTATATGATAATCGGCGTGTCATCATTCATGTACACATGCATCCCATGAACTGGACATATCTTGGCACTATTCCTGATAATAACTTGTGAATTTCCAATATCAGTAGTGGGATGCTATGGTGTAATGTAGGCTACACTGAAAAGCGAGCATCTGCCAGCCATTGCAAGAATGGTAACAAGGTGTCTTTGCAGCCTGAAATTCTGCCACAACTGTGGCTGAAGCTGCTCTGTTTGATTGGAAACTGAACCCTTTTGCTCCCAGAAGCAATCTTGTACTGGGATAATTGGCCTGAGGCAGCTCTCATTGGCTTATGGGCACAGTTAAATGAGCCACCCCATTTCAGAAATCAGCCCCCAAAATGCCAGAAGCTGCTTATAGTTTCAAGCTTTTTCTCAAAGCTACAGCTTGTCTAGATCTGCTACTTTTTGACTGGTAAAACATTGTTTTACTTCTATGGATGTGTTATTAATTGTCTTTTTTGTTTATCATTATGGGCACAAATGACCACTGCAGTCAACGTGCCCGAAAACACCAATGAAGAAGAATGTCTTTTTTGTTTTTGCTATCATCTTTTATGATTTGAATGATTTAATACATGCTTATCTAACTATTTGTGCCCGTCATTATACCGATGTGCACCAGCACTGCCATCTGCAGCTGACTACATGATGTCAATTAGTATTCATATGTCAGGGCTCCCAGGATCACCCACATGCAAACACTCTTTTGTTGACTGGTGAATCTACCAAAGCTATTCTTTGTCTCCTCTGTGGCCTTACAAGGCACTTTGTTGCACCCTGAGCTGAACATGACTGAGGGTTAAAAATCATACATGGTAAAGTGTCTGTTTTGGAAATATCCAGAGTTCAGCTAGCATTCCAGATGCAAGAGTAGCTCCCAGTAGTATGTTTCGTGTTCTTGCAGTGTGAAATCAGTCTGCAGGAGTAACAGTCATTTTCTTGGGGCCTTCATCACGACCACCACCCCAGTACCATCATCTGTGTATGTATGTCCATAGAGCAGCAGACCAGGAGAAAAGTTTGTATTTAGGGAGAGGGATGGGGCTCCAAGCCTCTCCCAGGACATTGCAAAAGGGAGTAAGATCATGGGATCAGGGAGCCAACATTTTTCTATGTATTGCTCTCTGCTCAGCCTCTACCCTTCCTGACTTGTCCAGCAAAACTGCACCCCTTCTGCAGTCCAGTGTTCAGAGAATGTCCAGACCAGAATGTCTTGGTTGCACACATGTTCACCTCTGATGCAGCTCACAGGAGATGCAAGATTATGGCTGTCACATTTAAAGGTACAGACTACAGGCTCAAAAGACACATTTTTGCATTAACTTCTGTTTCATTTCAGAACTGTTCCTGTGGACCCTTTGTGCAGAATACTGGAGCTGAATAGAAGTTGGCACAATGTTTTCTTCTATTGTAGCCTTTATTAAAGGCAGCAGCCTTGCCAAGCTGGCATGTCTGGACTTTGGAATCCAGTGGGGGCTCTGGGTTTTCTCAGCAGCCCTCCACACTGAGAAGTTCTATGACTTAGCAGGTATGCAGAGGTGTATGGCGTACCAAATACACTCTACATTGTTTAGCAGAGTAGACCTTTCATCCTGAGCTAATATCATGATCAGACATGGATGCTACAAATGCAAGATCACCCAAGGTTGGGGTTACAAAAAGCATTGAAATGGCCCCAGGTGACCTCCACTCTTCAGCTGCAGATGGTGACATGCTTTGACCTGTGTCAGCCTTATGGAGAGCTAAGACAGAAGGTCCTGCATACCATCCAAGGTGATCATACTCAGTGTGGGTGAGGGCTCATGCTGGTGGGTCCTCTGTGGCTCAGTTGTCTGATCGCTGCCAACGTTATCATCCTGCCATCACCACCCAGGGTCGTCCACGTACCTGGTGTTGGTGTACCTGGCCTTCGAGTGGTCGCGGGGACAGACCTCGCCGCAGTCGGTGCAGCGCAACATGGTCATGATCTGGGCCATCCGCCTGGGGCTCTACCTCTTCGTCCGGGTGCTGAAGGACGGCGGCGATAAGCGCTTCAACAAGGCCCGCGACAGCCCCTCCACACTCTTTGTGTACTGGACTCTGCAGGGTGAGGCATGGGTTTGTGGCACTGCGACCAGGCACTGCGGCCACAGTCTGCCATGTTTGCTGCCAGCTGCTTGATGGGCCTTGGGTTTGATAACTTTGCTGTTTGCATTGTTGCGTCAGTTTTGCAATGTCCGTATTTACACTGTCTCTGTGCGAGCCATGTCACCACCTTGTATTAGATGATTGGTGTGCGCTCGCGTGCCTTGCGTGCGTGTTGGCGTGGGTGTGTGTGCGTCTGCGTGCGCCGTGCGTGCGCCGCTCCCGCAGGGGTAAGCCGTAACATTTGTGTGTGTTATGCAGGGGTGTGGGTCTTGGTGACCCTGCTGCCAACACTGGTCATGATGGACGGCAGCGAGCGCCGGCAGCCCTGCACCCAGCACTACGTCGGCTGGGCCATGTGGGCGGTCGGCTTCGTGTTCGAGGTGGTGGCCGATTATCAGAAGACTGTGTTCAGAAATAATCCGGCCAACAAGGTGAGGAGAGCTGGGGAGAAACTACCAT